TGTCTCTTTGCCACAATCTGGGCAGTCTGGCGCTTTAACACCTTTACGGCCACATTTAAAGCAAACCAACTCGTCTCTATTAGCTTTACACTGCCTTAAATTATGCGTGTTATTACGACAACGAGGACAGTAACGCTGCTTAGTGCCAGAACTAGGAGTGTTCACTGCATGTACATAATTAGGAGCTGAGTGAGATGTATTATTATTATTACTATTTGTAGCATATTTGCTATTACAATTTCTATTTGATTGACCCACGTAAGCAAATTCAGGTGCTAGGGTAGTCGAGCTCGGCTTTGGAGGCTCTTTGAATTGAGAAAACCGTGCCTGAATGCTCTCAAAGTTACGGCACAAGTTTCGCAACTCATCAATAGATTTGACCTCGGCGGCAGAGGAAAGAGTATTAGCATAAATTGGGCGAATATTGTGGAGTATAATTTCCAATTTATCCTCTTCTGAAACCTTCTTCGATAATCGCGAAAAAAGTCCAGCCATAATGGAAAGGTAAATAACTATGTTTTCGCTTTCTCCTTGTGTGCGAGACCTAATTTCTGAAAGCAGTCTGTAGTCATAGTCAGACTGGTCGAAATCACGCCTCAGCGACAATGCAAGTTCGTCCCAACTCAGAACCGAATCTTGGATACTCCTGTACCAGTGCAACGCATCGCCGATAAATATTTCAGTGGCATTCGTCAATATTTTATTGCATGAGATATTTTTCGCTTTGCAAATTTATTAAGATTACCCTCACAAGTGACGGTGACATTAAGAGGTGTCGAAGCAATAGAGGGAGAAGTATCGTTGCTAGACACAGTTACAGCCAAAGGATCTACAGCAGAATCATTAAGAGTGATGAGTTTTGCTGCTGTCTTTTTATAAAAACTGACACATTGATCATAGCTGTCCTTTAACTTTTCATCGCAAGCAATACGGTTTAGCCGGTGATATAAGTGGTTGAGTAAGTTTTGTGTGCGTAGTAATGTGTTCTTGTCTAAAGATGTTGATTCTAATATAAGGTTAGTTTTTTCAAGAACATCTACAACACCATCTAAATCGACAGCTGGGTCAAAAGGGCTAGTTAAAATGTCCTCTGACGGAAACAATGGACCGCATTTAGCAATTTGTTTGCGCAATTCTTGTACAGTGGCAGCTGGTGTTTCACCTCTAATGGCAACTTCGTACTCAAGCTCAGCTTTTTGCAAAGACATAAATTTCACAGGAAATACCATAATTAACACGGTAAAAAAAATTTCGTTGGGTAAATGTTGACAACTCCAGCACGTGAAAAAACAATAAGAACAAAAAAAAGCAAATTACTCCGTCTGTTACAATTTTAAATTAAAATAAATAACGTCTTGGTTGTTTTTTCATGAAAATAAAAGCAGCAAAATTAAAAGCGTTAAAAAAATTGCAATCTAAAACAAATATAGACAAAACGAAAAAATTAAATTGCAACTAATGTGTACATTAAACAAATAGTAACAAACTATTAAAAAAAATAAGTTACTCGTAGTACTTGTTAACAAAACTTTGTTGCTGACTGTACCGACTCCGCACGGGACGTAAGAGTGCGGTTAACATTAAAATATAAAATAATTCAAAAATAAAAGAAAGTAAAAATACAACGGTATTCAAGATGTCTGGTTTTATACTAAAACCACTACAATTTATTTTTTTATTTTATTTTTTTCTTTTCTGGAACAATGTAATATGATTGATTTTACAGTGCAACATAAAAAAATACTTGCAAACTAGGTATTTCGTACACATTAGTTACCATGCAACCAAAATAAAATAATAAACGTTTTACAAACACAAAACAAGAGACAATACACAAAATGCCAAAAACACTACTACCTCCACAGAAAAGGAAAAAAATTAAGACCTTTATGAAAACCACGTTGGGCGCCAGTGTCGCGTTTAGGGTGCGTTTAGGGTTATCTTTAAGTTAGAGATAATTGAAACGCAGCGCTAACAACATTTAAGTTTTTTTTTTTTATTTTTTATTTCGGGTCGTAGGTAGGTAAAAAAAAATTGCCGGTCTTAATATTTTCGTCTATGGAGGCAGACGCGCTAGGTACTCTCCTGGCCTGACGCAACTTTAGCGGTCACGTCGTCACGGAGACCGGAGAATAAGCGCCCACTGGAAGTCGTCCCGCAGGGTCGTAGATGATGGAGAGGCAAAGAGCAGCAGAAAGAGAAGATGTCCTTGTTCGAACCGGAACTTGGGCTGCTGGTAGTCGAACCCGAACTTTGGACCCTGGAATGATCCAGACGCGGAATGAGTTTAGGGTCTTCCGACTTATCCTCGTCTGACTGTGACCGCGACAGCGTAAGCGTGAGGCAGAAGATGTACTATTGCGATTAAGGCGAATGTGTGCAAGTCACAGTCAGAATCGGAGCAAACTACAGAAGAATTTTTACAGTGGTACATTGATATAAATGAATACTACTTTAAAACATATTAATAGAAGGTACTAAAACACATTACAAGAAATGAACAAACACTATAGAAGGAAATTCTAATAGGAAGAAAAAAAATCTATTCACGTAATGGCCGCAACCAGCATGATTAAGCAGAAATTAAATAATTGTCAACACTTACCCAATATGGGGTTAACACTGAATTTATATATTAGAGGAATAACGCCCACGTATGGATGACACGCTAAGTTATTGAAACTATCTTCGGTACTTTTAAGGAGCGCGTAAACGTGTGTACGTTACAGTTGATGTGTGCCGTCTGTCCCTGGCCGGTGTCACGGCAAAGACAAAAAAAAGGAATATGACTGGCAAATTTAATTTGATCATGTGAGGGTGATCTTAACAATTTATTTTTTTTAGTCTTCGATAGTATGACTACCGACACAAACGGGGAACAGGTTAGCGAGTTGGAACCAAAATGCAATGACGTGACGATTTGCCTTCAATGCCTTTACTTAACATAGTAATAAGTATTGTTCACTTTATTGTTCATTTAGTGCTATTGTTTTTTTGTATGTACTATTGTATAGGAGTTATGTTAAGTTAATATTTAAAATGTACGCCTGTACATACATTGACAATTAGTGTGCGTGTGTGTAAATTTGGTATTAAAATTTTGACAGGAGCGTTGAGTTAAATATACTACGTTACAAGGTTGGTTGGAAATTGTTACAAATACGTCTTAAATGTAGATATTAGCCTTTTTTATTCTACCAAGCAGTCTGACATAGACATTTTGTTCATGATATTAAAGTCCACTTTTATTCACAAATCCTTCAAGGACCTACTCCATTACGTAACTAAATAAAAATGTCTGTCGTCACTTATTTATGACAGTATCCTTCTAAACGTGATTATTTCGCTTGAATACTTTAAGGAAGGGATTTCCTCTATCGAGAGCTATTGATAAAGTAATAATATAAAGATACATATTTGTCGGCGCACAGGCCATCAGCACATATGAAACCTCTTTGTTATACGTCGATGTCAACACTGTCAAATGTCATAATTAAGTCCATAGCGAACACTGAGCTCTGGTGAGGCGGCCTTCTTGTAAAACAGGACAATTAGTGTTGGACCTTCGTGGAATACGCACGCAGCCACGTGTTTGGTGGACTTTAAGTTCAAATCCAAGCTAATCTTAATTATCCTTAGCTAAATTGTAATAGTTGTGATTGTTATATCAAGAGTTGTAAGAAGAGTGATTATAACAACAGTTATTTTATTGAAGTACTATCTTCCTACCCGATAATCCGCGCCTAACTGATCATGTCAAATTATTCTAATCATAGTCGAAAGACTTCATTTATTTGATTCAATGTAAAGTTAGGTCATTTTGGAGTGTAGGTACATTTTGTTACTAGTGTGTAAAGTTGGTTATTACTGCAGAGGCGCATAGTTTTAAGTCTTAAGAGGTCTTAAGGAGCCCAGGACGGTAATCATCAATACACACGTGTATCATACGACGTTTGTCAACACACTTCTGAATAAAATAATAGTTAAATAAAAAACTTCAAAAGAGAAAGCGAGAAGAATTTGAAAAAAGGTTTGTAATGGCGGGAAAAAATTATCAGTATTCCTACATATGCGCGTGCATCGGCCATAGATTAGAAATGGTATTTTTTTGGGCTTTTCGCAAATAGCATTTTAGCGCAAGTGTAAAAAAATCTATTACTCATTTGTGAATAATAGTAATGAAAAATTCAGAGTTTGATTAAAGATGTCATTGCGTGCCTAATTGCTGTGGGATTAGAGCCACTTTATGAGGAAGTGTATTGAAAAACATATTTGTATACCTAGCAACTTACGTGAGACATACAAAATTTATTGAAATTAATGACTTACTCACCTGAATAATGTGTCGGCTACGTGACTTCGTCGTGATGGGCTGTTCATGAATAAGAGTTCCGCTGTGACTTGAAACAAAACTAAGGAAAGCTATGCGCTTTCCTTACTGAATTCACGTGAGTAAGTCATTATTTTAAAGTTCTGCATAAATACTTTGCCAATCCATGAACATTAACGTGATTGCCGTTATTTGTATTACAAGTAGATACTTCTTCATGCCTATTTCACTATCCCTTCATAAAAATCCCGGTTAATATAAAAATATATGGCTAAGGTTATAAAAAATAAATATGTATAAAAAATACGTTCTTTATTCAAATTTATCTGGTACAGACAATATAAAAAGATTTTATTAATAAAATTCTAAATTGTAACAACAGACTATATCAAACCATTTGTGGGTTATTTAAAGTTTTAAGACGGGGAGGAGATATTGAGCCTCCGGGGACCTCAAACAAAGGCCGAAAACGCAAGCGTTGTATCACGTCGCTATTATAAAGAACGCCAATGTATAACTTCGGTAAAACCACACTTTTCTTATTTCCAATAAGAGAAAGGATTTTACAAATGAAATAAATACCTACAATCCAATTTTATGCTAAAATTACAAACTTATAGACTACAAATACCTTAAAATTTTTTAAACAAAACATGTAAAGATATTTTTTTTATTTTTTGTCTTCAGTATCAGTGAGACTGTTCATCGTCATTGAAGAGGTTTGAAGTCCAATGAGTTCGGATATTTCTTCCCATGTATGGGCATCGATCATCAAGATCAAATCCGATTGTAAGTATGCTGCTTCCACTGTAAAATAACAAATTTATATTATACCTATTGTAGTTTTTGTTTAAGTGTGAGAGAGCCAAGCTTCGGCACGAATGGGTCGGGTCGACTGAAGTGATACCACGGCCTCACAGAAAACCGGCGTGAAAAAACCACAGCGTTGTGTTTCGCCATGTGAGTGAGGTTACCTAAAGCCCAATCCCTATCCCTATCTCTAAATCCCTAATACCCAAAAGGTCGGCAACGCACTCGTAAATCCTTTGGTGTTGCGGGTGTCCATGGGTGTAAAAGTCAAAAGTCAAAAATCATTTATTCCAATTAGACCTTTACAGGCACTTTTGAACGTCAAACCAAATTTTGAAAATATAGTATCAGTCTGTCGGTCAGTCCTGTTAGTGAAGCTATACATACAGTTCTCGTTTGCATAATACACACTTTTTTCAAAAAAAAAATTATGATGGTCAATCGGACGATCCAACATGAGATACATATTCAGTTCCCAGAACCATAAAATAATAAAATACTTAATTTAAATTTAAAATTTTTGAATAAAAAAGCGCCATGCTGCTAGTAGCAACGAATTTTACAACAAACCTATTTAAATACTTAGGTTTCCTGCGTTCTCAACATTCTTTCGAGGTAATGGATACGGCAGCGTTCAACACCAGACTAGTGACATTCTTTTAATTCTTTTGTTGGTTTTACTACTTAAATTTAAATGTACTTATATGTATAATATTTAATATGAATAACTTTTAATAGTCGATAAAATGGAATACCAGCTTTTGAAACCTAAACGAGTAGGTTTAAGCTGTTGTTCCACAATAAATATACTTACTCCCACGTAATTATTTATTTATTTATTTAACACTTTATATACATAAAAATACAAAGGCGGTCCTTATACCTGAAGGCATTCTCTACCAGTCAACCTCAAGGGTGATGCAGAGAAGTGTTAACAATAGATTCTAAACAAGCACACAAATTATTAATAAGCATAGGCACATAACGTTACACAAACATATAATACAAAAAAGTATATGAATGCAATAAATAATAATACATAAATAATACTATTAAATATGGAAATAATAGATTACGAATTGTATGTATAGGTACAAGAAACATAAACAATAATATACCAATGAGTTGAAGCTGACAACTTTTATAGCAAATATTTGTGAACTTTAAATTTGAAAGATAGCCGACTGGTTGTCATCTGTGTCAAATATCATCGAAATCCTTCCCCTCCCCCGACCCTCCCAAATGTTTATGACCCAAAACCATAATCCCTAAAAGACGGCGACTTTCACACACAGAGAGCACTCGATTTTTTTTTTAATAACATTGCCCCACACTACGATTTTCTCCTGTGCCGTGGGTGCGTTTACAAACATACAATTTCACATGCAAATCACAACCAGACCCGAAACAACAATCTGTGGATTACACAAAGAATTGTTCCGTCCGGGAATCGAACCCGCTACACGTTGCGCGCCAGCCAGTTGCCCAGCTACCGCGCCAACCGTTCAGTCTTAGTCTAACTCCTCTGATGTTGCGTGTGTTCTTGCTTACCATCAGGTATTCCGACGGCTCAGGATCAGGTATTCCGAAAATGTCACAGTGTAACGTTAACATGCATTGGATTAGTATAATGTACGCTCGCTCTAGCTAGGCAAAATGGCGATTTCAAACACGTATATTTTAAAACAGCTTTTAACCTGAATTTCTCGTTAAAATCCAGGAAATATTGCCCAACAGTCTATTTGATTATAGTTTACATGTATTATGCCAATGTGTACCTACCTCTCATTTGGTTGATATTGTTAACTATTTTCTTCATTTTATCCAGTTGCTTCTCTATATCTGCTTTAATATTATCGAAAAAATCCGGATCGGAAATATCTTCCATAGATTTAGATGTCCCTTCCATTTCTAATTATATTGTTTATTGTCTACAATTCAAACTTATACATTATTCAACCAATTAGTTGGGCCTAGTTAGCTATGAATAATTGTTAGGACGAATCCGGAATATTTCACAAAATGGGTGAAATAGCGCCAAATTATTTCACAAACCTCACGGTTTTTTTAGTTTTATATTAACACAATAACTAATAAAACACCATACGGTGGTATTTTCACAAAGAAACTATTTGATTTTAACTCGAAGCCCTAAAAAGTTTGACAATCGGAAACGCAAACGGAGCGGGAAAATGTAGGGAACTTTTTAAAATCAGAATTAGGTCAACGATTGCACGCGATCGTCGACAAACAGCCAGATTATATGAAAAGAGTTTTTAACTCCCGAAACTGTTCGGAAAATTAAAAAAGTGCCTTTACTAAAACTAGATCGAACTTTAAAATTTGATAATATTATTTAACACTGTATTTGTTTTATAAAAATGAGTCGGCTTTTTAAGGAAAAATAAGAACATGTTATTATCTCGGTTCTTTGAACATTAACAATGCCCTTTAACACAATTTACAGAACAACATTATTTCATCAATGTCAGTTTATAATCTCCAGAACGTCGCCAACAAAATAGGGCTTTGTCTAAAAACTTTTAGTAATTATCCGTCATTACGGCTTTTAACATAATTTTCTTGACAGACATACCTACTTGTTTGCCGGCGGCAGATTGTGTTAATTACCTAGTTTATGTTTAAATAATCGAAAGAAGATTACATCACGGTAATAAATCATGCAATCATAGTATTTTTTAATTTACCGTCTCTTCATAGATTATTAAAAGTTTGAAAAAAAATGGAAACGCCGCCAAAAAATAGTAAAAAAAAAAATACGCGCGCAAAGGCAACATAATCATGCGGCCTAGTACGTAAACATAAACAATATTATTATGTGTGAAATCCATCACAATGCATGAAATAACGATCAATTAGTGCAAACAGTCGAACAATGATGCCAATCATCTCGGTCGAGCGAACTAAATCTGTTTTTGGATGAGTTTTGGTATGTCAGCCGCGTCACACGCCGAATGTCATTGGATTTATAAATACAATCAGCTCCAGAAATAGGTGGCTACAGGTTTTCCAGGCGTACCGACCTAAAATAAAGCAGCCTGGATTCGTTAACAATATAATTGTCTCCACTTGGTACGTGCAACGAACTAGTGAGCGTAAGAAGTTTGTTAGTGGTTTTTATAAAGTAAATACTTGTGGCCATGGATGATGAGGATGTACAACAGTTTTCTTTGCGCTGGCACAATCATCAGGTAGGTGAGTAATATTTTATTTTATCAACACACCCACTACAGATGACCAGGTACACTTACAGAATATTTCCTTTGGATATATTTTTTCTTCGCTTTATTCATTTAGCATTCGCCTTTTCCGTGGCCTTATATTTAAAGATTTAGTTTAGATACATATTTTTAATACTGTTTTCTTACGTTGCGCGATAACGTCCTAAACATGGCGTTTTGTAATACCATTCTTTTTTTAAATTATATCTTACTTAGTTAATTCATTTCTTTTAACCGAAAATAATATTTGGTATTTTAGAACTAAAAAAATGTTTTGTTTTCTCTGACGTTCGATATTTAAAATTGATTATTTGGAACACATCGAAATTTAGAACACATTTTGTGATTGAAAATTCAAATTAAAATGGTTTGGCGCTATATTTTTTTTTGTACATAATAATGACACCCATGCTTAGCCTGTATGATATTACCTTTGCCAATGACACTAAATAGTAAGGTTACTAATAGATCACACGCACACCAACTAATCGACTATTGAGTTCAACCACTAATATCGATTTTTATTAATTTTGTATTCTAATACGAACAGCAGCTTTTATGGAAATCCGTTGTTCGAACAAATATTTCATATTTAATTTTATTTATATACAATAAAATCCTTAATACAATACTCAATACAATAAATTCCTTAATTTTAGTGGATTTTATTTTTAATTCTTGTTGAAGGTATCTATGTAATTATATTTCTAAGTGGGCAATTTATTAATTTATAACAAAAAAAATAAGTTTATGGTTTTTGATAAACAAAAGTTTAATATTTTATTTTTATTTTTTATTTTTAATCTACATGAGAAGACACTTTCTCATTTTGAGTTTATTTCGGTATCTGTTAGAAAACTTCAAACTAAACTAAAATAAATTTTACGATCTATATTATTTATAATTAAATAACGTATTATTTACAAGACGGGTTTCTCAAAAAGCTGCTGTAAGACAACATATTGAAGTTGTCTTTTGCTTGAACAGAACAGCTTGATTGGAGCCCTAGGTCGTATGTTGAGTACGGGAGCCCTGACTGACGTCACACTGAGCGCCAGCGGGACTTCTGTGAAGGCCCATAGACTTGTGTTAGCATCTTGCAGCCAGTACTTCGCTCAGCTTTTTAAGGTGATCAATATTTGTCTGTACAATTTAAGTTTTTTTTTACACAGTGACAGGGGGGCGTAATGGTATCCAATCAGCGCCACTCATATAAACCTGTTACAACGGAGGTGTCACGAGTACGTTGCCCATCTTTTGGGGGATAAGGGTTTTGGCGAATTAGGGATTTGGGGGTGCGGAAGAAATGGGCCTCCGCTAACGAAAAAAAAAACGTTGTGCTTGTTTCACGCCGGTTTTCAGTGAGGCCGTGGTATCACTCCAGTCAAGCCGACCCATGCGTGCCGAAGCATGGCTCTCCCATGCTTGGCTCTCTTTTAGCCGCTTGTTGAGTTGTTTTAATTCATCATTCATCGTTGTTGCGGGTGTCCATGGGTGGCGCTGATTGCTTACCATCAGGTAATCTGCTCGTTTGCCGACCTATCACATAAAACCCCAAGCAAACGGCGTTCGCGCACCGATTGTTCTTCTATTATATCTCGAATTACTTCTATGAACAGTCATCATCAACCTATAAGGGCCCACTGCTGAGCAAAGGCCTCTTCTCACACGGAGAAGGTTAGAGCATTAATCACCACGCTTGCTCAATGCGGGTTGGCGATTTCAAACTTATAATTAGAAATTATAAGTCCAGGTTTCCTCACGATGTTTACCTTCACCGTATGTCAGGGGTGTTAAATAATCAATCATAGAAAGTACATATAACTCGGAAAAAGTCGCATTGGTTCTTGGCAGGTTTCTAACCCACACCCTCGTGCATGAGAAGCGGGCTCCTTAACCTCCGAGCCACCACCACAACACCAACACTCTATTGAACAGTAAATTCTTACATTTATCTGCCGAAAATTTCAGGAAGTGGAAGCTGAAAACAACACACTTGTGGTAGTGCTAGGGTGTGATGCTGCGGAACTGCGTCTGCTCCTGACATTCATGTACACCGGAGAGGTGACAGCCTCCAAGAAGATCCTCCCGTCCCTCTTACGACTTGCACAAACCTTGAAAGTTTCTGGACTTACTGACGCCGACACGGTAAGGGATATTGCAGTAGTACTCGTTTAGGGCAATCTATACTAATATTATAAAGCTGAAGAGTTTATTTGTTTTTTGAACGCGCTAATCTCAGGAACTACTGGTTCGAATTGAAAAAATATTTTTGCGTTTAATAGACCATTTATTGAGAATGGCTTTAGGCTATAAAACATCACGCTACAATATGTAGAAGCAGAGCAGCGGGTGAAACTACGCGAGAGTAGCTAGTAGAATAAGTTTCTCACGGGTCCTGTACTTCCAGCAAGGACCAGGGGTCTGGATGAAACTGGGCCGGGGCCGCGGTGCCTCATTGCGCTTACCCCGCAACCTAGGATCCAAATGTTAGGCCGAACTTATAGTTCTTCACGATCATAACATTAAGCAACTTGGCAATCCTTCTGCCAGAGGTTGTCGTGAGCTGGCACCAAATTAAAGACATACACACATATTAAAAAAGCGATCTTAATTGCGTTCATGCCATGCACCTTGGTCCTATGGACGTAATTTCTATCACCACGCTTTCATAAAGATAGAAAACCATTGTCCAATAGTAAGCTATTGCGATCTGATCTTTTTAATGGTAATCAATCAGCGCCGCCCATGGACACCCGCAACGGAGGAGTTACGAGTGCGTTGCCGACCTTTTAGGGATTAGGGATTTGGAGATTTAGGAACTGGGAAGGGATTGGGAAGGGGAAGGATTGGGCCTCCGGTAACCTTACTCACTCGGCGAAACACAACACTGTGGTTGTTTCACGCCGGTTTTCTGTGAGGCCGTGGTATCACTCCGGTCGAGCCGACCCATTCGTGCCGAAGCATTGCTCTCCCACACTTAGCTCAACAAATATGGCAGTCTATAAAAATATTATTAAGATTTCTCGGGTATTTTTTTTTTCAAGAGTAACATAGTCTTGTATGATCCTCCAACAGTGTGTGAAAATTATTTTGATCCCTGTTATGTACCTAAAGAACTGATATAAAAAAAGTTCTGAATTGCCTATGTACCTATGCCTTTAATAACAAAACTGTATGATGTTATTTATGCTATCGTATTCTTAACCAATCGTTAACAATTTCAGAACTCAACACTAACGCCGACTGAACCCGAACCTCTAGAGGATTTCAATAAAACAAATATACCAGAATCGCCAGTCAACCTTGAGATCAAGAACGATGTTACACCTCAAGTCATCAACGACAACTCCAGTTCCAGTTCCAAACTCAACTACGACGATATAATCTCACCAACCAATGAAAAAGAAGGGAGTTTTGCCGAATTCATGGGTAAAAGTGAAAAAGATCGACTAAGCAAATTGGATCAGATCGTCCAGAATTTGTATAGCACGCACAAGATTGGCAACCCTACTGCTACACTGGTTAATTCTGGAGGTGAGTTCTTTTTTTTACATGTCACTTAGCTACAGGCTAGCCTAGTATAATTTATAGATATTCTTGGTACATATGTCGATTTATTCTATTACAAATCTTCCCCGAGCAATTTCAGGACAAAATAAAATATCCGATTTAGTCGAGTAATTTGACAGTAATATAATGTGCGTACGTCATGTCAGTAGGTCATTTGTTATATACATATATATACTAGCAATACTACGTTCTAAAACCTTATGGGCCAGTTTACAATTAACGGATAATGCATCGCATCTTATCATCATAGGTGGGATAACGCGACTGAAACTGTCACGCCTAACCTTAATACACCGCTGATACATTTGACGCATTTAATGTAATGCCAAGTAATGTAAAAATGTAATGCCAAGATGGCGGCTGTACGAAAAGCGCCGCTATTTTAAATAATAGTTCCGATTAAAATAATATGAGCAATATTTAATATCCTGTTGAATATACCCACCCTATACTTAATGTTAATAGAAGGAGATAAACAAATAAAAAAACGCTTGAGAAGTACAAATTTAGTACTCTGGGCTCTCCTACTAAACCTGCACAATTATATAATTATTAAGTATAAAAGAGTCTGCTATTGTCAATACTTAAAAGTACAAAATTAAATAAGTTAAAACTCTTCTACAAATTTGTCAAGTGATGACTTAAAATCTCTCAGAGCTTGTTATATTAAATTCAATTAATTATATTAATCGAGTAATGGAATGAATTAAGATTGCAATCTGTTTTGTTTATGTGTTTATAATTTGTTTAATAACAACGTCGTATGAAACTTCGCCATTTTTGGAGTTAAATAAGAAAGTTATTATTGGCCTAAGACACGTACAAAACTCACACGTATATGTGTGGGAGTATTATGCTATGGCACGAATGGGTCGGCTGGACCGGAGTGATGCCACGGCTTCACAGAAAAACGGGGTGAAACAATCACAGCGTTGTGTTTCGCTGCGTCAGTGAGGTTACCGGAGGTCCAATTCTTCCTCTCCCCAATCCGAATGTTGTTTTCTAATTAGGGTTTTGGTGGTTCAGCACCAAAACCCTAATTAGAAAACAACATTCGTACATAATTTCGTTTCACACCAAACTTGTAAGATTTGTGGGATAGAAGACCAACACGTACTTTTTACCACGTCCGTAACGTGACGTAACGTGGAAGGTTATATTTTATATCATGAGAATTAATAAAAAACTGTATTCTTTAAACCCTTCCTTGAATATTTTTCTTTATTTTTTTTTTTTTTTGGTACTGAATCCAGCTCCACCCCTACCCTCAACGTCATTGAGTGGGATCGATTATATCACTATCAGACTTTTATTCAGATTGGCATGATCAAAAGTATTTTTGAGACAAGAACAAAAGTTTCTTGTCTTAAAAAAATCCAAAACCTTAAATCTATAGACCAGTCCTAATTAACCTAATGTTGCCAAAGGCGTCTTCCTTATCCAGCCAAACTTCTAGTGCTATCCAAATCACTATACCTTTTTTTGGCAATTCTCAGGATATCGTCCTGCCCAACGCGACCTTTATTCTTCTATTATAAATTCTTTTTACAGCAATAAATCAATTGTCAGTTACAGAAATACCAGAGTATGATAGAAAATGGCGGATGAACAGCTCTGTATGTACAATATGCAACAAAAGGCTGTCGAACCAGTACAATCTGCGCGTGCACATGGAAACACACGCGGGACGCCGCCATGCTTGTCGCGCATGCTCACATGTCTCAAGATCCAGGGACGCATTGAGGAAACACGTTGCCTATAGACATGCGCCCCCGCAACACAGGGCCGGACGAGGCGACATTTGAATGGATTTAGAATAAAAGGTACACTTTGGAAGTAGGCTCCTTTTGTAATCTGAATTTTATATAAAAAACTTATCAAATTAATTGGGTTGTACGGTTTACTTACGACTGCGACTTTAACTGCTAATCCAACTGACAACTCCTTTGGTTTTTTTTTTATTTCATAAAAATCGTTGCCCTACCACTAGGATTCTGTTGTGTCGTGAGTGCATATTGATTGTAGGCCCTTGACGAAGTTCGAAACTGATTGAGTAACCTCGTCAAATACAAAAGTGAGTAAACTGTACAAGCTAATTAGTTTATCTTGATTTCATTTTTGATTTCCGTATAAATTAATTGAAAGAAAATTTTTGGTCTCCTAATGTTAGATAGTGCTCAAATTATTGTATACACATGTTTTATTTATGTACCTACATATAATATAGTTGGCAATATCGAATTACTACACGTTTACTACTTCTTTAATTGTAAATCGATAAAAAAAGATGTGAAATAACTTTTAATATGTATTTGAAGAAAAAAATTTAAGCGATGGTGCCTTATATACTATATAATGATAAATTAAGTATGTTTACCACTACATTTTTATTATAAAAATCCAGACACATTTCGTTGGAACACTATATAGACTCCTTCAATAATACTCGAAACGCAGTCTACATCGTCCAGCTACGATTATTTATGTAATTGCTATAGTATTTTATATTTACTTACTCATTACCTTTATATAGTCGTGACCACAATAAGGGAAATTTGCGAGCATTCGTTTTTTTTTAACAGCATTAAGTAAAATGTCAATCGAAATTTTATACTCGTGTCAGAAAAAAACTTTTTTCAACACACTTCTTCATAAATTGGCTCTAATCCCATGGAAATCAGGCACGTAATGACACCTGTAATTATAGTAACAAAAAAAAACATATTTTTTTAGTCTATGGCCGATGCGTGCGCATTAGAATACTGATTAATTGTTCCCGCCATTACGAACCTTTTTTCAAACTCTTCTCGCTTTCTCTTTTGAAGTTTTTTATTTAAGAATTATTTTATTCAGAAGTGTGTTGAAAAACGTTGTATGATACACGTATGAATTGATGATTACCGTCCTTGGCTCCTTAAGGCCTGAGGCCCTCGGGCTAATCACCAACTTTTCACACTTGTACCATTATAATGCTTATATAGATGAATGCTAGCAATAATATCACACGATAATAAGCAAAAATTATTGAATTATATTCATTCTACATTGAATAATCGATAAAAAGCTATTGAATACCCACCGAAGGTATTTATTACCAAAGTAACATTAAAAAGACGTTATTCTTAAAACTTTTTTGAGTGTCATATTGTTTTTTTATTATTATTTCATTACCTAATAGATTTTTTTATTTAATATTGACGATAGGGACGAAGTTACATTTTGAATTACATGCAAAATAAGGTATTAATTATTTGTTTTGTATCTAGCTAAATAAATACATAATAATGTTAACGTGCTTAAGGGCGTACTTTACCTTTGTGTTATAGAACAATTTTACAATGCTAGTAATTTTTACTCTGTATTTATTATCCATGTAAAAGATATTTTTAGGAGTGTTGTGTAAAAAAAAACAATTTATTTTATAATATTCTGTGATACGGGAATCAATGACGTTTTTATTAGAATGTAAACAAAACAAATATTTCGTATCGCCACCGTTCGAAATATGATTTTGGCGCCAAATGCTACCAACTTTAGAAAATTAAATATGGCGGAACGCAAACAGTCAACATTCTTTTACCTACGTCGTTAGTTCCTAAAATGTCCGTTCAACATTTAAAACAATATTTTTATAGTTTCTTTCTGAGACTAGTTTTACTTTGAAGGACATTAATTGCAATCATGTTCTAGTCATGTTTTAAAATCCTACTCTCATGTTTTTAGCGTAAGCTAGTATAAAAAGACATTTTATTTAAATAAAAGACAATTTAGTTGATTTTTAATAAGTTAAATAAATAAGAAAAAATATTGAACAGTTTTTTATTATACCTTTTGTCAATATTAATGTAAAAGTTTGTAAGTACTTATTTGTGAATGGATGTTTGTTAGTCTTGCAGATAAAATCTACTGAATTGAATGAAATTTAGCATTGAGATAAATTGTAGTCTGGGATACCAAATGGGCTATTTACCCTAGAACAGCGGGTGAAGCCGCTGGCAGAAGCTAGGTATATTATCTTATAAAAATAAGTATTTTTCGAATAATATTTTTTAAAATACTTATTATTCGTATATCCAGTCGACTTTTATTTTTATTTTGATCATTAATATGTATATAGATTTTTGGAAATCCTATTGCAAAATCTACTTAGAGGTAGTGCATTGTACATCTGTGCATTTAAACCGGTGACAAGTATTAGGTATATATTTTGTGTAATATCTCAACACGTAATATATCGCTATCGATTTTGAAGTCTATAGTAAATAGTAATACATGATATCTACTTACAGTAAAATGTATCAATAGATATACATAAAAAAGTTATTTATCACCAAATACTAATCTACAATAATGTTTCAACAAAAAATAAAACAACTTATTCCAATAATAATCAAATATTTTATACAAAACTATTAAAACCACAATATGTATAACTGCGTACAAATCTAATTTAATAAGCCTTATATAATAATAAATTCAAACAAGCGGATAGCTTAAAAAATAACATTTAGTAGGTATGTAGATTTTATTTTCATCACGTTATTGCTTTGGTTTGTTCATTAGCTGTCTAGTATATATTCTTCTAAAGTCTTGAATTTTCGCGCGAACAGAATTAACAACACTTTGTTCGTCATAGATGCCCCAGCCCTTCTTCCGTCCAAATCTTTCCACATAAGTTAACATCACCTGTCTTGCATTCTCATCCAAACCTGGTCTTACGTCATTTTCGTCTACTGCAAAAGCATTAGCTCTGGCCCCGGTCCATGAACATACTCTCAACGCTTTTCGAGTAAAAATCAACGTCAACAACATCCTCGCAAATTCCTTATAATTATTAGATATTCTTTTAACATGTGCCAATTTATTCGCATGTACGTAAATACGACTTTTGGGCAGAAGTTCCTTATTAATATAAGTCTTCTTTTGATGTAATAACGTCCATCTTGAATTTGTTGGTGAATATTCTCGCGGCAACACAAATGGATATTTCTTGCCTCGCCTCTTCGGTTCGTCAGTAGGATTGTTAGAATCCGATTTAAAATTTTTATCGCCATCACTATCAGCAGTCTCCTTAACATCTTGGGCCTTATGCGTCTTACCATCGGATTGCTTATTACCATTACTGGAACTTGTACCTCCTTTATCATCTAATTTATTACCCTTGCAAGAATTGCGAGGATTACTCTTTATATTTCGCTTAATGTTTTTAACAAAATCATCATCAGAAGTATCACTGTCGTCATTATTATGGCTATCACTATCATCAGAACTATCATTACATCCACCTTCATTGTTGACACCTTTTCGTTCTCGTTTTTTAATCTTCTTTTTCTTTGTAATTTTTTTGGATGCTGAAGTATGAAGCTGTTTTGATGGTAATGCAGTCGCAGAATTTTCGTTGCGCAACTCTAAATAAAGAGCTATTGATGATAAAGCTTTGTCAAGCATTTTCTTTTTTCCCTTTATCATATGTCGGTTAGAACTAAGCACTTGGAGAATTTCGCCAAAATTATCAGACATTATTTGGAAGATTTTTCCAAAGTGTTTTATTAAATTTACTTCAACTTGCTCTCTAAATGATGGTGATAATAGAGTATGACATTTGTTTGTCAGCTTTGATAATAAATCTTCAGTCGTATTAGGCCTTTGTTCAATTTTTATTGTATCAGCACTACTACTTCTCTTTTGTTCTATTTCTTTAGGAACAGCGTCGTCAGTGGTGATGTCATTACATACAGGTAGATCTTTAACTGAATCGCTGGGTTTCGTCTCTATGTTAGAATTAGGGCTTTCAACGGCATATGATACATTTTCTCCTCCTTTCTCAATAATAGCGGTTGGTCCATCAGTTTTATTTTTCCCAATTTCAGTACTTGCGACTTGGTTAATACTAGTCAAAATATTTGTTGAATTGTTTTCGTCATTAGAGCTGCTCGCAGCGTTTGAGATTTGTTGTGCTGCGGTTGGGATATTCTGGGGCATTTCATGTCTTTGAGAGACCTGATATGTCCTATCATTGCTTCTAGGTCTAATATTTTCTTGTACTTGTTTCACTTGATGAGAATAGTTTGCATAAGCTGGTATTACTGTATTATTTGCTTGTGCTCTGTGTTGGAACTGGTTTGTACTTGGAGGATATGTATGCATATTATGTTGTGTATTAACTGTCATGGTAGTAGGAGCTCCTAAACCCAATTGATTGTGTCCTGTTCCGCTTCGGCGCATTAAATGCTGTGCATGCATTTCTACATCAAAATGTGAGTAATTATATCCTTGATAGCGATCGTGATATGAGTACTCAGATGTGTGCCGCGGGTGATTTGGATTTTGTATATTTGGCATTGTATTAATCTGTTTAGATGTTTGAGGCATTTTAGGTGCTATAGGAACTGTGTTAATAGCAAAATTTTGTTGCGGTAAATGAGGCATTTGTATATGAGATTGCAACTGGTTTTTAGGGCTAGTAGGCGTGTATATGTGAGGCATATTGGGCCTTAGGGGAGCTGTGTGAATAGGATAATGTCGCTGCTGTAGATGAGATATTTGATCGTTTAATGGTGGATTGTTTGTGGGCCTCATCGGACGGTATGAAGTATTGAATCTATCCGATATCCTTCCACTAGCTTGATTATTGGCATAAACTTCATTGCCTGCTATTTGTGACAAAGTCTGTCTATGTTGAGAATTTCCAAAATCCTGATTAGGAGGAAAATAATTAAGATTGGACATATTTTGAAAATTAGATACATTATTACGTGCCCTGCTTTGTGAATAAGTTGGATCGTTCTTCTTTGAAGATCTTTCACTTGTAATTTGTCGTTCATGTGGGTCTTGGTATAGAGCAGGCGTATTTGCTGTTATTGGGTAAGATAGGCTTCCGGGAGGTGTATTTATGGCTCGTTTAGGAGCAACTTGTTCAGCAAGCATAGCTTTAAGAGCAATCTGCGATGCTTGCGCAGGTAACGGAGTAGATTTCGTGGCTTGCATAGGTTGTAAAGTAGCTTGCTCATCTTGCTTAGTCTGTGGAGTAGCTTCTACTGCTTGCATAGCTAATGGAACAACCTGTGCAGCTTGTAAGGCTTGTGGTGACATTTGTGGAGCTAGGTGCAGTCCTTGTGTATTTGGCGGAGCAACTGGCGCATTTTGCATAACTTGCGTATTTTCCTGTAAATATTTTAAGCAACTTTCTAAGTATACATGATCGACACCTTGTAGGCCGCCAGACGCAATAAAATCTTGTAAAAGACGTTTATCTTGAGGTGTAACATTGGGGTAGTTTTCAATTTTATTTGATGTGTTTACGTCTGTAGATTTTTTCACCGACTGTCTTCGTTCAGCCTTAGCTGGTGGATTGTTTATATTAATTTGTAAAGGCGGATTGACATCAGTTTTGCTTGGATTTGAAATGCTTTGTTTAGATACTTTACTATCCAATTTCTGAGAGGAACTTATAGTCGAAGCATTCTGGGTTGTATTTGCTGTAAGCTGACCAGATTGGCTAGAAGTACCAGATGTTGAGCTATTTTTTCGAGTATATGAAGGACCAGGTGTTTCTTTAAGAATTTGCAATAAAGAACTTGAACTGGAACTAGTAGTTACATCAACTTCTGAGTCTGATGTTCTTCTATGACAATTTCCACTTGAAGTTCCTGGTTCTGTATGATGTGAATGCATTTTCTTGTCGCAAGACGTATTATTTGTGTTTTCTTGTTCACTATCAGTAAGACCTGATAGTTTAGATTTTGTAACAAATATTTCTGGTAATCTGGATATCTTAACTGCCAAGTCTTTACAGAAGACAGATTTCTTTTCGGAGATGGAAAGGTTGCTTGTAGGTTCAGGTACATCAGTAGCTGATTCAATTCTAGCAGCTTTTATATTCCTATTGCATTCTGATACTTTGCGTTTAAGAGACTGTGTTAATTCATCTCGCATGTTCATCTTCGATTTGGTCTTGGGTTTGTTTTCTTGAGCAGCATTCGGTTTTGAAGGGAGTACTTCTGTAATTAAAAAAAAAGATGTGATTATTTTATTCAAACATTTAAACGTATTGCTTCTCCTTAATTATCTAAGTATTTTTTGCAATATTTTATTACTCGATGGATCTGTTATAATGTATTCTATGCATTCTCCTAACAAATTATATGTGATTGTTTTACTTCTCAATTCAATGAGCTTCGACGACATTTTTTTTTCTGGTGCACTAGTTAAAAAAATAAAATTGCTGAAATTGTGTTTTTATTTATCTATTTAGCTTTATGCACACATATTATGGTACAAAGGCGGACTTAATGCCGTTGGCATTTTCTATCAGTCTAACCTTTGGGTGATGCAGAGATGAATAAAAAAACTGTGAATGCAAGCAGCAAACAATCCTTACACTAAAATTAAAGACAAAAAAAACTCAATATGACATAAATACAACAACAATATATACCTACATAAACTTATTATATGTACTAAGGGTGACAAAAATGCATGGAGAGCTTATGGTCGACTATTGACTGACAGGTTTTGCATAACGCTACCATTGATAACTAGATGGCGCTGCTTTTAAATGAAAATAACCCTGCAAAGCTTGAATACTTTACACTACAGAGGCACACAATAAGGTTTTTAATGGTTAAAATAATAATTAAGAAACAATAATACATTTATATTCAAATACACATAAATTATGTTACTTTTCTCATTTCCGAGGACTTAATATAGCGCCATCTAAGTCAAGTCAAGCAAACCAATCAAAAGATGGCGTCAATAATTAATAATAGACAATAATAAAAGTTATAAACTAACCCGCATTTTCAACTTCATAAAAAATGCGATCGGTAGCTCGGTTGAATAAGAATGGTAGACTTATGAAGTCGAAGGGCACCGGTTCAATTCTGGGTTATCATTTTTAAATTCAGGTTTATTAACAATGGTTTTTTTTTATATTTTTTGTATAAAATCAATAATAATAATACATAAATAAAATATTTGACGTTTAATATTTATAAAAGATAACAAAAATAATTATATATATATTACTTTTGAATAAAATTATACTAATAAATATATATAAATAACTTTTATAATATGTGCTAACTATTGATGTAAAAGTAACATATTTTTCTCACAGATTAAGACTAATACTAAGTTTAATTCTCATAAAGGATAACAAATAAAACTATTTTAGTGACATTATAATTTCAGACATTTATTTCTTAAAACATAATTTTTATTTCTTTCTTATATAGTGTATACCTTGACCTAATAACTTTTCAGCTAACTAACACATTATTTAATACACTTTATAAAAGATTAATAAGTATTTTAAATCAAAATTGTGTTGTGCTAGTCATTTATTAGTTAGTTTTAAACACAATGTTATAATACGATTCTATATAATATGCAACCTTACTTCTGCAAATATTTTACCTCCCCATAAAATTTACTTAAAGTATTGACTAAAGTGATTCATTTTGTGCATGTTATGACAAAGGCTCATAGCTTAAGTATTCGTTCCAGAACAAGGAAGAAATTGAAGCTTGACCTTAAATCAATAACATTTCTAATACCGGGATATAGCATTCATTAGATATGGGACGAATTGTTTATAGTAATTAATAAATAAATAATTTATTATTTTGCAATCAATAGCATCTGTAGATATTAATATTGCTTTTATTTTTATTTCTCATATTTAGTAAAATATTAAAATAATTACTGTAAATAACAGTTGCTGGTTATAAAGTAGTCAATAAATTTATCCTACTAACACTAAGATTCAACATTTATCCATTAAATAAATTATAGCTACCCCGGTCTTGTAATTGCTTGGTCAACAATATCTTTTTTTCTAAGAACTAGTATAGCCGCCATTTTTATCGATCCTATTTCTCCTATCTCGCTGGCCAAGGAATAATCCGTATGTCTGATTGCTGACTAAACACTTGCACAATTATGGAACATTACACATAGGACAATTGTCCTGCACGAACGTTATCACTAGCACATCTTCATGACGTCTTTCAGCACATCTATGTAGTTTTCACTGTTTGCATCACTGAAGATGACAATGCTCCAGTAATTTTCCTCATAACCTTGCCCCATAAGTTGAAGCTGGTCTGAGTCAATATCACGTCTTCAACCAGATCTACTACGGTGCTCCAATGAACCCTCTTCTTGAAACAGCTTTAGATATCCATAAAGTGGCAGTCTTTACTTGCAAGGGACGTGTATAATTAATTATTATTTTTATGTATCGATATCATGGATAATAAAATAAATAACGAACGGTCATTTTAAAGGAATACTTACGTTTAAGCCAGTTTTTCTCGAAATTTCAGTATAATTTAAACCTTTGATTATGCAATGCTAATATTTGGGCCCTCGTGCCATATCAATATTTGAACGCAAACTCATGATAAAAATAAATATTAAAAACTTGTTAAACAAATCGTAACTGAACTCACTCAAAGATAGTAAAGAATGTTATGATTAAACAAAAAGGTTCAATTTTTATACAGTTAATATTAAATTACCCTCAACTGCATTGAGATTTATGATCGGGTTATAGTTGCTAAACAACTTCAATATAATAAAGAGTAGGATAATTTCAATCAATTTCAAGGTTACGCAATGGCCTAATGGCTAGTGGCTTCGGTAAATTTTATGCTACCGAGTTCGAATCCTGGTTATTGCGTGCTTAGCTTTAAAAAGGTTTGGAATATCTTAGCATTAATTTGTGTAAAAGTTTTATTAAGTTAATAACTTTGTATCTGATAAAAACTATAAATATATATTTTTCAATACCACTAGTATACTAGCGCCATCTATGTCATCCATGGTAATATTATTAAGGCGATGAAACGCCGTACAAACGATTTTGATTTGGAATCCTCCATGCACTTATGACACTGATAGTACATACAAAATAAAATAAATAAATATAGAACACTAATATAAATAAATGGATATAGATACTACTTATAAAAGTATTTGTGATGGTTCAGCCAATTTTTTCAAGAGATGCTCTCAAAGTTTCTGCTTAAATGTAAACCCACATGACACCATCCTGACATCCCAGGGGAGCGCATTCCACAACAGTAGCGCGCAGTGTTTTGTGAGTTCAAGACCGTCCGTTTCCTTTATATATTTCTATGTTTGTTTAGTGCTGAAGAAATAAGATTAGGTATTAATACTTACGTAGAGCTTCTAATTCCGCTTGGATTTTTTTGCTGCTCTCTACGCGTATAATATTTTCAGCATCCCACGGACAATCTGAAAATTAATACATGAAATTCTTTAAACATGAGGAAATATAGATTTAGAGTTTGTTACTGCCGATCCGCCTAGAAAAAGGATTGGCAGTCACAAAATAATAATAACTGTGGGATCTAATCTTGACAAGGTACACTTAATGTTAAATATTTAGCGAATAAGTTAATAGAAAAATATGTATAAATATTTTATGTAATAGGTATAATAATATCTGTCCTATATGTATCTACTAGTAACCCGCTCCGGCTTCGCAAGGATGCCATGCTGATACCCGACTTCTACACTATTTAGTTATTTATTCAATTTTAATGGACGTTATTTATACATATTATTATAAACCTTCCTCTTCAATCACTTTATCTATTCAAAAACCACATCGTAATCCGTTACGTAATTTTTAGGAATTATTAAGGGACAGATACAGAAACTTTTGTTTATGCTATGTAGTGATTAAGTATTGTATTCATATATTTATTTTATCGGTGTCTGTATATGTGCATAGCGTCTTAGGGTGATCAGGTATTATCGTCATATTTGTTTTTGTTTTCCTCTCTTGTTTTCGTCTAGGACGCTGTGTCATTGCTTCGCACCGGTGCGATCGCTTGATTTCTCTGCACCACCCTATGGTTAACTGTCAGTGAATACCTTGAAACATTAAGTCTGAAACACTATTCAGAATTGACAGTGTGAAAAAGAAATAAATAAACAAATCTAGTGATCTAATTCCTTGTCAGTCAAAAGAAACCTTTCACTCAGCAGTTATAGAGTTTTACGCATGTTGATCATGATCATGAAATATTACTAATTTTGTCTAGAAGGTTTTAGGGAACAAACAGTGAAGTTCCCTAAGATCGGAAAAAGTGTTTAGATATGCTTGAAGGGCCTCAAACGTTGGGGTGTTCTAACCGTCATAATTCACTTTATGACGTTATTCGTTTATTATTGAAGTTGATCTTCTGTCAAACGGGTTTTTTGGGGGGAAACATCGTCAAGTGCCTTCCACCGACCTCACGCCTCCTCCCAATCTGCGTGGTTCGAGAGGGAGTATCAGCCACTTTATTACTTAAAACCACCCCTTTCCATCTCCTACTTCAGGCTTGGGCCGTGGCACACAATTGGGCTTGCCCCGCAACCCTGGCTGTTGTCAAGATGGTGAACACCTTACGATTGTTAGGCTACTGTACAACGTTCGACGCAGTACGATTACTTCTTCACCTATGAAATTGCCGTTTTGCATGAAAAAAATTAAACGAATCTTTTGATTTGAAATGCGATGAAAATGTAACACTAATCAATAAACAAATGACTACTTTTGGAAAAAGAATCCCATGTTTTTAAAACAAAATTAATTAGCCTTAGACTAACAAAAACTATTTTGATTTGAAATGGCCAGTACTGCAGAACGGCATTTTCATAGGTAAAGACCTATTATTATAACACTCAACTGTAACTTCTACACTTCTCTGTAACTTTCGTTTACCTCTAGCGATGGTAATATTGAAAGGCTACCGGCACCAGAAATTTGTGTAAAGGCGGAAACTAACTTATGTGTCTTAACATGTCATGATGCACCAGTAGCATTACAATATGTGGGACGTGTTGTATCACATCCTGTCAAATGAGACCGACACGCTACAAGTAGTATGGAGGCAAGTATATTTCCGGCTTTACGATACCAGCTCCGTAATCGGAAAAACAATAATTTTGGATAAAACAGATGTGTTATTGTTTGTAAGTGTTCAGGAGATCAAATTATCAAAAATACTGCAGCTAATGTACTTATCGTGTCAAGGCTAGATATTGTTTATGTTCAAAGTACACGGCAGGTCATAAAAGATTAAAATGTCTGATAGACGTTCATCACGCACTATATTTTTCAAAATGTGTAAAAGTACATCATACCATTCTTTATATGGTAAGCAATCGGTGCTGCAACACCAGGTGCATTGCCGGCCTTTGAAAGTATAGGGTTTCGGTGATTTAGTAATTGAGAAAGAGTAACAACGATGGTGCCTCCGGTAACCTCATCCTCATGGTGAAAAACAACGCTGTGGTTGTTTCACGCCGGTTTTCTGTAAGGCCGTGGTATCACTTCGGTCGAGCCGACCCATTCGTACCAAGGCTTGGCTTTTCTACACTCAATTCAATAATATTATTATGTATGTAGATAACTCGTCCAGTACTGGAGATTGATGACCCCCGGTTTCCGAAAGGCTGATCAATGTTAAAATCAATTTAATCTCTTGTCAAGTCATCTGATTGGTTGACTGAATTATCAACAACCAATCAGATGACTTGACAAGAGATTTAACAGGAGATTAGTTAATTTTAGAGTTGACAACCCTTTCAGAAACCGGGTGTGAATCTCTTTAAATATTGGTACATTATCTATCATCAACGTTGTATGGAGTTTTGATGTTGTGCTGACTAAGATATTGAATAAGAAAGAAATACCGACCGCTGATATCATTTGTGACAACCCATTATTTGTGGGCGAGAAGGAGTGGCAGACCCTTACTCAACTCCCGTTCCTTCTTGTGCTTCTATCTTGGCCACGGTACTTTTGAATAATCACCAAAGGGGACCCCATACGTGATGATCTGAAGGCTCTAGGTGTGAGGAGACCAATTGCAATCAGACAGCACGTAAGATTTCTTACTCCGAACTGTATTAGGTCTAAAAATAGCATTTTTCGATAATCAAAATATATGTTCTCAAAATGTATATCACAGAGTCTATAGCTGCGTCCGGTCAGTAAACCCGTTATCTTAGCATTTTCATTACATGGAACTCATGAACTAGGATTGCCATCTGTACTGTTTTTAACCGACTTCCAAAAAGGAGGATGGTTCTCAATTCAACCGTATATATGCTTTTTTTAATATACATATGTATCTAATTTGAGTGCTGTTTTCGTCTACAATATAATGTTTAACAGAAATAACAATAGCATGCGATTTACTATTTCAGCAGGATCATTTTCTTATTAGGTACCTACAAGATAATCACAAAACGATATTTAATTTATACCTTTTTGAGTGATACCACGGCCTCACATGAAACCGACGTAAAGCGATACTTACGTTGTGTTTCGCCGTGTGAGCGAAGTTACCGGAGGCCCAATTGTTCCTCCCTCCTCCATCCTTAATCTACAACTTCCCTAACATAAAATCCCTAACTACCCACAAGATGCCGGCAACGCATTTGTAGCAACTCCTTTGCTGCAACGAGTGTCCATAGTCGTCAAAACCGCATCAAAATCCGTTGCGTACAGTACGGCCGTCGTATCCTGGCGAGTCTGAAGTTAGCCGTTTATCTGCGCAATGGACCTTTTAGGAACAAAATTGTGTACTGCGCAGCTAATCGGCTAACTTCAGACTCGCCAAGTTACGTTGGCGGTATTGTAGTTTTTATGATTTATGCGTGGACACAGAAACCGACTTTGTTTTATACTATGCAGTGATACGGTTCTGTAATGAAGATTGGCAACCCTATAACTTTTATAACTGATGAAAAGCTATTGCGTTAAATTCTTTCGCGCACTATGGTGTTTTAGTGGCTTATCATTAAAAGTGTGTAGGTAGAGGAAAATTATAGTAAAATTAGCTTGTATTTACGTGTTTAGACAAGTTAGGACATGAAACAGTGTTGCTATGAATCATACGAAGTTAATTAATAAACAATGTCATTACGACAGTTATTACAATGATATATACCTATCTATGTATATAAAAAAAAGCTTTAACGCCAAATTGCATTAACACAAAGCGATTTTATCAAAAAAAAAAATCGTGTCGTTATATTAAATCTGTCATAGTTATCAGCCTAGAAGTGCCCACTGCTGTGCAAAGACCTCTTCTCAATCGAAGAAGATTTGAGCATTAATCACCACTTTAATAGTCCAGACCTTTGACTGCACGGTTCGCGCGGTGGCTGGGCAACTGGCTTACGCGCAACGTATCGCGGGTTCGATTCCCGCACGGAACAACTCTTTGTGTGATCCACAAGTAGTTGTTTCGGGGTCTGGGTGTGATGTACATGTGAAATTGTATGTTTTTAAACGCACCCACGACACAGGAGAAAATCGTAGTATGGGGTAACGTTTTTTTTTTTAAAAAAAAAACACCATTTAATTCGAAAAATGCCACATTGGTACTTGCCATGTTGAGAACCCGCACCCTCTAGAATGAGAACCGGGCGCCTTTACCTCCGGGCCACCACGACATTATAACACATTATTGACATATTAAAAGTACATAATCAAAACTTACATGTTTTATATTTAGGTGCGCACAGATAAAACTTCCATTCCTTATCATAAGCCAGTCCCGATTTCACAAGGCTCCTAGTCGATGACAGTCTTTCGGAAGGGTAGGCAGCATACACCCCCTTGGATTTTCTATCATCTATCCAAGTCTTAGGCACACAGACCAAGTCATCGATGTTCTGGAAGGGCTGTTGCAGAAATTGTATCACGTAGAATTTGTACGATTCATCGAATTCTATCTGTAACAGTTTAAAAAATGAATTAAATTAATTATCTATGTATATATTTTTTATGTTGTAGGTAGGCAACGGGTAACTAAGCAATCAGCGCTGCCCATGGACTTTCGTAATACCAAAGGACTTACCAGTGCAATGCCGGCCGGCCTCTTGCGGACTAATTATAAGGGATTTAAGAATAGAGGGATTGGAGGATTGGGGATGGTGGAGGAAGGAATGGGCCTCCGGTAACTTCACTCACACGGTGAAAAAAACGTTAGTGTTGTGTCACGCCGGTTTTTTGTGAGGTCGTGGTATCACTCCGGTCGATAAATTTTAACTTCTAAGGTCCCGTCTGATAAAATGTGTCGTCTAATCATTTCGGTGTGTCGGACAAAAACAAAGCGATATACAAATAGTGATCTGTGATATGCTATTAATAAATATTTTCAGACTGGAGGCCCAAATCATATTGTAATAAATTCCACCTTGAAGATTGAGAATTGAGTGTTTTTTTTTGTGAGTAGGCATAATGTTAAAAAATACTTACATTTTGGAAGACAAAAAGGAGATGAACATGGAAGAAATACGTCATCATGATAACATACTATGTTACCCCAAGCCCCATTTATATATGATGCACGTCAAAGTCAAAGTCAAAATCATTTATTCCAACTAAACCATAAATAGGCACTTTTGAAACGTCAAAATAGAGTAGTACCTAGTCTGTCATTCTGTTCGTCAGTGAAGCTAGGTGCTCATTCCAAATTGTAATTTCGAATGGAGATCAACGAGCAAAAAACTATATCGTTACTCTTTAAAAAAAAATGTTTTACAATTTCAATAATATAACATTTAGTATACATTATTATACCCTTATGTGAGAACAATGCAGAGACAAGTTGTAAAAAAAAAGAACAAATGATGGGAATAAAATTTTAATCCTTTGTCGTCTCGAACATGGCGCTCACATATGCGTACTCACAATCTTTAAGAGTGCTTCTATATAAACTCTTTGGATATATAAATTAAGGATGCATTATTTTTGAGAATTTTACTAACTACTGACTATATTTGAGTATTGTCCAGTGGAGCCGAATCAACACGCTGCCAGGCATTCTTATCCTCAATATAATCTGAAAGTTTGTAGTATGCCTGTCTACACAATTCGCATTTAATATAAGTTTTAAATTTTCGTTCGTTAAGATTCAATACACTACTTGGAATTTTATTGTAACAATTTACACAGAACCCCATAAAGGATTTCTGTACTTTGGACAGACGGAATCGTGGCACAGCCAGCCTATCTTTGCCTCTTGTATTAAAATTATGTCTATCGCTTCTTTTCAAATATTTGCAATTGTTTCCTTACGTACATAATATTTTCATATATATGTATAAACTGACAAGGCACCGTAAGGATATTTATCGTTTTAAATAGTTCTCTCATGCATTTATTACTTGCATGTATTGGATGTTCCAATTAATTAAAGCTATTATCGACTTGAATTGTCTAAACAATACATACATATGGTATAATGTAAACGAGCCTTCAAATCATTGAATTCAAAAATTGTTCCTGTTTCTTCAAGAAACTAGTATCGTGAAAATGAACCTTTATTAAGTGTAACAGACCCATACAACGCCACGAATCGGTGACGGCGACTCGACCAGAGAGATAGGCCTAGACCTAGGCCTTACAGAAAACCGGCGTGAGGCAACTTCAGCGTTGTGTTTCGCCGTGTGGGTGAGGTTACCGGAGACCCACTTCTTGCAATCCCCCCATTCATTCCTTATCCTTGAATCCCCAAAACTGACAACACACTAGCGACTCTGGTCCTGGGCGACGTCGATTGCTTACAATTAAGTAACTATCACATCATCTATACTTCCTTATAGGAAGTAAAATTTTTATGTTTGTATGTAGGGGTAATCTTTGGAACCGCTGCCTGGTTGGATTGCCAAAATTCTTTGCTACGATGTTCCTGAGTTAAATGAGCCAAGCAGCGGGTGAAATCGCGTGAGAGTAGCTAGTAATAAAAATAAAATAAAAAGCAGAAATCAAAATTTGTTTTCACAAGAAACAGTCGGTTAAAAACTCAAATAAATTCGTATTCGCTTGGTCTGCTAAAATTACTACTCTCAAGTTTGCGTTTACATTATCTAAATGCGCATAATTTAGGAACACTAAGAAACTTTGCATTCGCATAGTAATCTTGGTATACTTTAAAATATAAAAAAACGTTTCTATACATTTGAAAAATACAGTGAGTTTTTTGTAGAGTGTTATGTAGTATAAAATGCCGAAATGGCCCCAGCAGTGTGATTCTGTAAGACTTCATTGTAAACTTCGAATCTGAATCCGATGTGAGTATTGATACACTAGCGCTACACTTGCGAGTTGAGTATGAGATGACGTTAAAAGTGGCATTCTATTCTAAAATTTAATTTCCCCGTCACTTCGACGCTCGCTTCGCACTCAAACACAATTCAAAATCAAACAAATTTTATAGAATCGACGTGCAGAGGACGGCTTTAAATGGCATAAGCTTGCTCCAAATTATATCTGTTATCTAAATATATTTAGACACTACTGAAAAATAGTGAAGAACATTGTAGGAATACCAAGGCCTATAGTTTTTTATTATAAGATGGAACCGCCAATTCTCCTTGAGCAAGCGTGGTGATAAATGCTCAAACTTTCTCCATGTTAGAAGAGGCTTTTGCTCAACAATGGGCGCTTATAAGCTGTTAATAATGATTAAGCATATACAATATTTTTAATTAAACTATAAACCTAACGCATTACGCACTTTGTAGTTCATTTAAGTATAAAATTTAATAGACAACAGAACACCGGCATGAAACAACCATAGCGTATTTCGCCGTGTGGTTTTGCCAAAACCTTAATCCGAAAAAAGGTCGGCAACATACTCATCACTCCTTCGTTGTTGCGGGTGTAAATGGGCGGCGCTGATTGTTTACCATCAGGTAATCCACTTTTATAAAGCTCGTTTGCCGTCCTATCACAATAACTTTCTTCTTTAAATTTTAATTTTAATGTAAAACAATTTAAATTTCGCACCGTATTTAATTATTTAGATTATTTTATTTTATTTCAATTTAATTGGTAAAATTTAAATTACGTTAATTTTAATATTAATTTAAATTACATTAAATTTTACAAATTAAAATCGAAAAAAGAAAGTTTTACAAAGAAAGTTTTTTTTTTTAATTTTATGTAACTCAAATTTTACCAATGTAATTTTTGTATGTGTCTGAAACAATGAAACACAAGTAATGTAATTATTATAATAAATGTACTGATTTTATAATTACAGTGTAAACAAATATTGGTGAACCAAATAAAAAAAAACAATAAAAAACAGTCACAAACTTTACAAAGTTTTAGGATCAATATTTTAATTTTATTTAACAAGATCAATTGATCCTAGTCAAGACAAAGCAGCGTATCTATGTCATTATTATTATAATATGCACGCTATGTCATTGACATAACAAAGTCTACTCAGACAAATTGAAATTCCTATATGTATGTAGGTATATATCTACATATTTAGGTAACTATAGGTACCATGGGCTCAATCCACTGTCACGCAAAATAAAAACATTAAATATATATAAATATTAGTTGCCTTTAGAATGTTACCTACATACCGCTACTCCAAGATAAATCATAAAAAATCACGACGGATTGAGAATACGCAATCAAATTTTCACAATTAATAAAGTCCAGTGTAGGAGAGCCAAGCTTCGGCACGAATGTGTCGGCTCGACCGGCGTGATACCAAGACCTGACAGAAAACCGGCGTGAAACAACCACAGCGTTGTGTTTCGCCGTGCGAGTGAGGTTACCGGAGACCCAATTCCTCCCCCTCTGCCTACCCCTTCCACATCTTTAAATATCCGAAACCCTTATCCCCAAAAGGCAGTCAACGCACTCTTAATTCCTTTGGTGTTGCGGGCTTGCGGGTGCCCACGGGCGGCGCCGATTGCTTACCATCAGGTAATCCGTAAGCTTGTTTGCCGACCGATCCCATAAATAAAGACATTACATTATTATTGTGATGATAGTTACACTATAAGAAATCTTAAAGCCAAATCTACTGTGATTCTTCAATGAATAATATAACGTTTGCTAGAGAAAGCGAAATATCGAAAACTAATCACTAACATCATGATGCACCACCCATTTTAAATGGTCACGATAATATTGTTGATCAGGTCAGCGTAATAACAAAACTTTTAAAACGTATTAGGTAAAATTGCTTCTTAATAACCTATATTTCTCCTTTGGTCAAATTCGAAGCACAATCCGTTTCCAATATGCACCAAAAGAACAATTTTTCACTATTTTATAAATATTAAATAACAGCAACAATCATATTGAAATAGCACTGTCTAGACTCTAGACATTATTTTTATTACCAAAATAGAAAAAATATATTCTTGTTTACCGTCGGAAGTTGACCTTCAGTCATTGCGAATTCTATACCATTGGCAATCGCCGTCCGTAGAACAAGCAGAAAGCGTTCCAATAACAAAAAAAAAAGTAAACACTAAACTCACATATCACTTAACAAAATCCACACAGCACTGTCAATCTAAAAATAACTTTGCTACATAATATTTAAAACACAAATTGTTTTGGTACACAGTTGTTGAAAGAATGACCGGCGCCGCCGCTCTTTAAAACGATACTGTTTGAGACTGGTTCGTTAATCAAAATAATGCGAATGAATGAGTGATTCTGGATAAGGCCGCTGTGACGTCACAGGCCTCTGTATCTAAGCATATTATATGTAAAATAAAACTTCATCCTCACTTGTTAGTCATACATCCCGAATCGTGAATAAATTCATATAATTTATATTGCCAAGCCCGCTTCTCATGCTTGAGGGTGTGGGCTCGAAACCTGGCAAGTACCAATGTGACTTTTTCCGAGTTATATGTACTTTCTATGATTATTTAGACACCACTAACATACGGTGAAGGTAAACATCGTAAGGAAACTTGGACTTATAATTTCTAATTATTAGATTGAAATCGCCAACCCGCATTGAGCAAGTGTGGTGATTAATGCTCTAACCTTCTCCGTATGAGAAGAGGCCTTTGCTCAGCAGTGGGCACTTATAGGTTGATGATGATATTGCCAACAACTATGCTCACAATATTATGGTTGTTTTTTTAGATCCTGTTTTCTTACTTGTAACATTAATTCAGATCGGATTGAAACTGATAAGACCCCCTATTAAATGGAAGATATACGTGACATTAGTAGCGTAAAGTTCTATCTACGATTAATAATTTGTTGTTAACATGATCCTACATCATAAAGCTTAATTAATTATTGGCTGATATTATCTCTCTAACAAAAATGATAATAGTAAATTATACTATTATCAATTCTTGTTCAGTTCGCAGAACTCATTTACTTAATAGGTTAAATAATAATTAGGCGTACATCTCTAATGATGTTTTCCTTATTAAATATAAATATGTATGTTTCAAATTACAAATACAGGCCTTTGGAATCATTTTCGTCACAGTACAAATATCAGAGTTTCTATGTATGCATATTATGAGTACATAAACCTCAAAGAAGTTATATGTACATGTTTATGACCATACTTACGTTTTCAGCAATCCATTGGCAAAGTGCCAAACATTTCATTATTTTTGCGAAAAATATTTTACGACTTTGTTGTAGGTACCTAGATTCTGTAAGTAAGTACCAATATCTGTAATCTTAAAATAATATTTTTGTTTCAGTTATGATAAAATAATAATTCTAAAGTTACATTATTTTTATACAACTAACTATTAATATAGCTGTGATATGTAAGAAAATACTAGTTGACCATACGACCTCTTTTCTAAAAATATATGTCTAAAAAATATACCACATAAGTTTAATGCTATTTACTCAATTTATAGCAACACCATGTAAGTGAGGTCACCGAAAGCCTAGTCCTCCCCCTGCCCCCATCCCCAATCCCCAAATCCCAAACCACCAAACGGTTGGCAACGCAATTCTGGTGTAGCAATGGTCTATAGGCGGCGTCGATTATTTACATCGAGGTGACACGTCTGACCTTGTTTGACCTATCCCATAAAAAGTTGGCATATGAGTATGTATGTATTTGTTTGAGAATTCATTGAGGTTATCACTACCTGCGAAGAACACGTTTGAGCGAAACCGCTTGTTGGTTCGTTTTAGGATTAAATTCCTATTTCAACGAAAAATACAAAATGTAATACTCCAACGATCCGATCTTTGAAAGGACCTTTCTAGTTCACCGCATCAGGCGGCCCAATAACGAGTCAAAAAATATTGTCTACATTAAATATTTTGTGGCTATAATTATGAACCTACATCTGTCTATCTGTTCTCGGAATAAATAGCGTGATGAAATGTAATACTCACTACATTTATTTAGCAAAACATTAGAGTCGAATGTAGATAAGGCACCCGTGAAATGACTAACCGGTGAGTCACCGCTTTGTCTGTGCAACTTAATTCTAATAATGTTTTTAACGAGCGTCTCGCCTTCCGTTTTGCCCGCAAAAAATATAGAACATTTCTATAGAATTATAACCAATACAGTACAAACGTTTAATGTAAACATAGCCAAAACAACTCCTTTACAAAAGCTTTCGATACATGAACGATTTTTCAAAATAGATTCAGTAGTTTTTGTAGAAATTCGTTACATACATACAAACAAACACACAAAAGTACGTTCCCTCTACTTTTAAGTACATAATTCCATTTAATTAAAACTTTATTTATTTCTTAGATAATGGAATTTAGTATTTGTAACCTTTTTGCGACTTTACGGCTCTACTGACGTCGTCGTGCGTGACGAACATACATAAACAACCATTAACAAAAATAACGCTTTATAATGGTCTACCAACAGGTTAAGACGTTTCGTCTCAATCGATACCAACCTAGCCTAAGAATACGTACGTACTATATTTTCCTATAAGCTATACGCAATTTGATTAGGCCAGCTCGATCGGGACAATATCACTATCTTACAGAATATTAACTTGACGTAGTCAATCAGTGACAGGTTTGAATGCCTATGACGACATGAAGACGTCGCCAGCTACATACCTAATCAGTTAATTTTGAAACATCAGAATCAGTTGGCGACACTTGGGTACGTCGCCAATTTATAACAAGCATGGCCACGAGCTATAGGCCCCTGTGTGAATACTGGGTATTCTGGCCTGGCGGCAATTTTGCCGCTGTAATAGTGGCGCGAATAGCTAGCCGCCATTTTAGATGTGTTGCCTTTTGAGACATGGCGTCTCGACTCTGTTTAGCGACATTACGATGCCAGAAGTAGGGTTTCCGATTTTAAGAATACTGCTCTCGGTTCCGGTGCTCATGATGGGAAGCAAGAAGTAACCTTGTATTTTAAAGGGGCATGAAGTTGCGTTATCGTTTATGGAGAAGTAGTGTTCCTTAAAAATGATGGTGTAATTGAACAGTTTCTTAGATGGTCTGCAACAGACCTGTGTGTTGTTGTTTGGTCTCACAAGTGTACTTAGGTTATTTATCTGCTTACCATGAAGCTGATAAGCTGTATTATTGTAGAGGTAGCCAGTAATACAGTTTAAAAATGATTATATTTAACTCTCGTTTTAAAATAGCTTCTAATGCCTTTTCTGAATAACGTAGAGATAGTTTTAAATACTTTTTTTTTGATTTTACAACGTAGGGCGGCAACTGGCAGACTGATCAGCTTATAATCTCCTAGATATCGGCGTGACGCCAACAACAGAGTACTTATAAGGGCGTTGCCAGTCTGTGAGAAAGGGGGATTATCCACCATCACACTATAAGTGAAATACAATACAAACTATGATTCACGATGGTTTTCTGTGACGCCGTTTAGATAGATTGGCAAATGAGCAAACGGATTACCTGATATTTATTTGATCTACCTATTTTACCGATTTTGACTTTGATTAGCCATAACTATCGACTACTACATGTATATTATTTATATGTATATTATTTATATATCTATGTATACTTTTACTTTATTTATAGGTTTAGGTTTTTATTTTATCTGTAGCTCTAGTTTTAGTCTTAGGTGTGTCAGTGTTGTGTTTCGCCGTGTGAGTGAGGTTACCAGAGGCCCAATCCCGTCCCTTGCCCTATCCCTTCCCGATCCTTACATCCGCAACCCCATCCCCAAAAGGCCGGCAACGCACTCGTAACTCTTTTGGTGTTTCGGGTGTCCATGGGCGGTGCTGATTGCTTACCATCAGGTAATCCGTCTGCCATTTTGCCGACTTATACCATAAAAAAAAGGTTACAGTTTTGCTTTGTTTGTTATTACCAATTTCTCTTAATCCTGTTGTTTTATTTCGTCACACAGTGTCTTATGTCTATTACATTTTTCCTTTCGAAGGACTGCAGCAAGAGATTCCATATAGGAATATGCAGTACGTAGATACCTACGCATCTCTGTTTCTGTATTTGTTTTCCTATTTACTATAATATGTGTAACGTGCACAAATAATAAATAAGTCTAAATAATAAATATCTGTATACTGGAATTACCCAAAACAAGTTAAACTTGGCGTACTTGAATTGAGAACATCCTTTTTTTAAAAGTCGGTTTAAAAGGAAAAACAATATGCCTACAGTAAAAAAAACTCACGCGTTATAAGTATTTAATTTTGGAATGTGTAAATAGTCACGGATTTTTCCTTGTGATTTGTTAGTCATTATTATCATACTTTTTGCTATTAATACATGTTAACAAATATTTACTTAGTAGTTTTTTAGGTAAATTAATTAGCACTAACTAATTGAAATAAAATACCTAACTGCAGAGTTAATATTACTTCTTCACCATAATTATTTATAAATTGAAATGAGCAAACAGCTTCACTAGAGGACTGTTCGACCGACTCGAACTAAAATACTTATTTTGTATGACCTTCAAAAGTGACTTTTCCGAGTAACCTATATACCTTCTATGATCATTAAGACACCACTGACATACGACAAAAGAAAACATCGCAAGGAAACCTGGACTTATAATTTCTAATTATAAATGAGACATCGCCAATCCGCTTTGAGCAAACGTAGTGATAACTGCTCAAACCTTCTCCGTGTGAGAAGAGGCCTCTGCTCAACAGTCGGCACTTATGGGCTGATGATGTGATGTGATGTGTGATGTGTATACCTCTGTACTTGCTTTCAGGATATAAAATTCAAGTCAAAACAATATCTAAATAAAAGTTTGTCAAGCCGAAAATTGAATAAGGAAAACTATTGCAACATAATAATATCCTACGTCGATTATAATACAACTTACCTACTTCGGTAAATGTTGTAAATATTATTAATTTATCTATACTTTTTATACTAAAACTAGCTCTTACCCGCGGCGTCGCTCCCGTCATTTTATTACCTACCCTACTCTACCTACCCCACTCTACCTACTCTACTCTACCTACCCTACTCTACCTACCCTACTCTACCTAACCTACTCTACCTACCCTACTCTACCTACCCTACTCCACCCTCCCCTACTCTACCTACCCTACTCTACCTACCCTACTCTACCTACCCTACTCTACCTAACCTACTCTAACTACCCTACTCTACCTAACCTACTCTAACTACCCTACTCTACCTAACCTACTCTACCTACCC